AGCGGAGGCGACTCACACCAATTCAGCATGCACAGTTCCAGCATTCTTGTCTATCAAATTTGGAAATCAAGAGTAGTAGATATACGCAGGGCGGTGACTGGGAATTAGTGGAGGAGGATCCTAATCGTCCTCATGTCTAAGTCTGGGCGCCCTGGCAGTATCTCAGCCCACATACAACCATGACATCTCCTTCAAACATAAACTTCATCCTGCATCGGCCGTCGCGCAGATTATCAAGGGTCGCCTTATCTGTTGCATACAGCAGGGCGGATAAACAAAACATGCTACTGCTGGCGCCTCCCTTCTATCTTTTCCACCGTTTTCTCTTACTCCCATTCCGACCCCCATTACTAACCTTCCTTCTATAATTCCCAGCTTAAAGGACAGCAACCGAACTGCCACTGGAATAGAACCATTTGCAGCCACCATCCCACAGCATCTATCGGCAAAAGTCCCTTATAAGATCACGCTATCCCGTTTCCATGACGACATTCAACGTTCGCACTCTAAGACAAACAGGTCAACAGGCTGCACTCGCACGCACCTTGGACACACTGGGTATTGATGTGTGTTGTGTGTTCGAAAATAGGATCAGTGACCCTAACGGGGTTATTGAATTAATTGCACCCGACTTATCCTCTCGTAATTGGTTGCACGCATCCGGAGACGCCGATGCAGCACTCACGGGTCAAGCCGTTGTAGGTATCATTCTAGCTCCAAGGCTGCGCCATCGTTGGTAGATTGGATTCCGGTGAACAGCCGTTTATGTGCAGCCCGTCTGACGATATCAGCTAAGGTTGATTCGCGAAGTAGTAAAAAACGCTGTTTGTTCGTGATTTCCGCTTATGCTCACACCGACTGCAGTTCTAATGCTGTCAAGGACACATTCTATCACGAACTGAACGCGCTACTACGCAGTGCTACTAGTTCTGATATTATAGTACTTGCAGGAGATATGAACGCACAAGTAGGGCGTCTGAGCTCTTCAGAAGCTCAGCTAAGTAGTAATTGTGGACTTAACTCCGAACGGACTGACAACGGTGAGCGCTTGCTGTAACTGTGTGCGGAGCACCAGTAGTTTCTTAGTAGCACTGCTTTTAGACACAGTGGGCGCCGAAGTGCCACTTGGCGTCCTCCTATAGCCGGCCAGTGATGGACGCAAATTGACCACATAGCCATAGGTTACAGATGGCTTGGTTCCATCCTGGAGTACCTGTGTCGACTCGGATCATGCCTTGGTATGCTGTCGTTTCTCCATGAACTTTACCGGGAGGCGCACCAAGTGTCTCATACGATTGGCACCGGAGAAACTGTCTCAGTCCTCGGTCAGGCAAGCTTATCAAGACGCACTGCGTACCAAACTTTCGCTGTATTGTCCTAATGACACTGAGCTTCAGTGGAATAAGATCTCGGCCGCCATGCACCAAGCAGGAGCATTTGCTTGTGGCACTATCCATCGTCACCTCACCAGTCACTGGATATCCGAGAAATCGGAGAGCCAGTTGGAATCTAGAAGAAACCTTCCGGATGGCTCTGAACACAATGTGACCAGACGGGCTATTAGGCGTGAAATAAAGCAGTCTATGTACTGACAAGGAAGCCTGGTGGACCAGTAGGGCTCAAGAAATGGAGGAGGCAGGAGCAGTAGGCAATTGCCGCAAGCTCTTCCAGCTAATCCGCACCACTGGTCCCGGAAAATCAAGCGACAGTGAGACAAGCAGAGACAGTGCGGCTGCACTGATATACAATAAGGAGCACCGTATGGCTCGTTGGACGGAACAATTTCAATATCAGTTCAGCTGGCCCCCTGCTCCCTGACCTCTTCCTACTCAGGTGATGCAGGACGAGCCATGGAAGGATAGTTTAGGGCCGCCGTCGGATGCCGAGGTCCGAAACGCGATAACAGTTCTCAATCGTTTACGTGAAGCTGACCCGGGTTCCCTCCCACCTGCACTATTTAAGGATGGAGGTGTCATCCTCTGCAAAGCACTGCATCAGAAATGATGGGCGCATAGAAACTGACATCAGATCACGAATTGCAAAGGCCAGAGCTGCCTTCTAGAATTTGCGGCATCTTTGCCGACAGAAAGGAATTTCCCTTGGTCTGAAAGTCCTTGTGTATAAGGCCACAGTGAGGGCCGTTCTACTCTCTGGTAATGAGACTTGGTCCCTTCTGCCTGAAGATCTGAGGCGCCTTCAAGTCTTTGATCATCATTGTCTGCGAAGCATTACTGGTGTTGGATGGCACCAGCATATCCCCCACGATGATGTGCGTAGGCGAGTACTAGGTAGTGATAATCATGCTTGCTCCCTAAAACAACATATAGCACTGAATAAGTTGCGTTGGCTCGGGCACCTGCTACATATGCCTGGTCATCGCTTACCTAGGAGGGCCTTGTTCAGTCTACCAGGTGTAGGGTGGCGCAACTCTCGAGGTGGACAGAAGTTGACTCGACAGCGGGAAATGAAGTCACTGACAACCAAACTGGGTGCCGTTGGTCCGTCTCGCCTTCTGCGCTGGAGTTCACGTGACTCACCTTTTGCTAGGCTCCAGACTTTACAGGACATGGCTCGCAACCGACACCAGTGGCGCGTCTGCTGCCGTCTCCTAATTGGATTGCCTGTTTAAAGTGTGTTTGGTGCTGAGTTATCTGCGGGATAATGGCTGATTATGACGCGAGGCAGTGAAGGCCGCAACAAACTGTCTAGCAGATGCCGCCTTATCTTTGCACGACAGCCAGTTGTTTGTGACGGCATGTTGTTAACACAAGGTGTAGGCGCCTTGACCCTGAATGTTTGCTTAGGGCATTAAGGTTTTCAGGTAGGTCCCCCTTTCTCTCCCTCTTCTTATTCTTTATTTCATAGGTACTTATGGTTGTATGGCAGCGAAGCATCAGTTCAAATGGCTGATGTACTGCTGATGCTGATGATTATGACTGAGCATTATTCTGCTCCACACTGGTTGGAACCACTCTTTGACCCTAGCACGGTCACGAAGAGCAAGCAACCCGTCCCGCAGCAAAGATTCAGTCTCCTGGAGCCAGTAATCGAGGTAGAGAGTGCTAGTCAGATAGACACCTTTTAAACATTCGCATCAAGTGCAGCCACAAAGGAGATATCAAACAAGCAACATATAATATGCGGAATATGCAGAGGAATAATAGCAGTGAGAAAGTCGAATAGAGTGAAGTACTTGTTATCCAGGTTAGGAAGATCTCATTAGCGTGTAAATCGGAGTGGCCCAATGGCATTGAAAAAGCATGCAACATCAACCTCCACATAAGGCACAAGGTCACATACACGTGGTTGGCGGCATCCGGTTTCGGATTTGCCTCTCACTGTGGCCCGCCACAGGAAGTCTGCGCCTATAGAGGGACCATGGGTGGCTTGCGCTGCACCAACCACAGCTCCAACCACACACTCCATATCCAGTATAAACCCAAAGGAATAAGACCGGAAGGCATGTGGATGGGAGCCACGTTTCATCAACGGAGCCGGCCCACACTCCTTCACAAGCAAACACAAGCACGCTGTATTTGGGAATCAAGCGCACACACAAGGCGGTGGCTGGACCGTAGTCCGCTCCACACAGAGTGCATGGAACCACTCTTCGAGCCTAGCACGGTCACAAGGGCTGTGCACCCCGTCCCCTCCACTAGCGACCAACTGTCTCCTGGAGCCAGCATGGACCAGGTAGTGGGTAATAGACAAGTAGGCACCTTGTCAACATGCACATCAAGCGCAGCCACATCGGGGATATCAAGCAACAGCCAATCACCTAGAACGACAAGATGAAATAAAACAAATCCTATAATGCATACACACACGGTGGCATAACTCTTCGCTAAATGAGCAGATGAAGTAAGTTGGTTAGCAACGAATCCGCGATAAGGAAAAAATGTCCACAAGTTACTTAAAATTGCTACAAACGCAACAAAATTACCGAAGGTAAGCGCAATTAGCGTAAGCAACGTGGCCAGTTAATAGAAGAGTATTCAGGTAGGCAGAACAAACCAAATAAAGTGGAATGAAATTTAGCCAGCTTAAAAAGACCTAGTTTAAGTGTAAGTTGGTTTAGCCCAACAGCGGTGAAGAAGCATCAAGAATGCAACATCAGCCTCAGCATGGGGCACACGTATCTACACATACATACGCACATACATCCAGTTTGCAATTGGTTCACTTGAGAAACATATGTGTATAAATATCGATCTTTTGTGTTGGTATTGCAATGAACATGCCCATGTAGTGTGCCTCGCACTGTCGAGAAGAAAGGAAAAGAAAAGTATCAGCAGTGCACTGGTACGAGCAGTACCGGCGTTTTGCTGTCGCGCAACCACCACCCGTCGCACATGGGGGCTAAGGATACTGCGAACGTTGCCCTGACCCCACGCAGGCTAGAACCCACGACGTCAGATTAGAAGAGAAACTTGTTACCTCTATGGTACGGGCCGGTATGTCGAGAATAAACAATTTGTTAATTTATACAATGAGACCGATAGGGTAGATGCATGCATAATAATTTGATTACAAAGTTACAGAGGAAAGGGGATATGAGGGTAACCTTGGGGTATCACACCTGTCGTGCTGCGAATAGGCGGGAACAAAAATAAGCGCAATGTGCAACATGAACGAACGCTGGATTAAGAAGATGAGTGGCGATGGTGCTCGCTCCCGCCGCCGTACTATGCGACTAGTTTCTTCCGTATTTAGACACTGTATGTATAGCTAGATCCAGCTGCTGCGGTGGCTAGCGAATGGCTGAACTGTAAGACTACAAACTTCAAAGAGCAATGGCTGGAATTCGGTTTGGACTGTAATGTCGCTGTTTGTGAAAAGCGTATTACGGGGTCACAAACCGAAGCTTGAAGGTTGGCGAAAGTGTTAAATTGTTATCGACGTCACCAACCCCCAAACACGAAGCGGAATGAAAGAGTTCATTGTGACGAGGTCACACAAGCCACATTAAGGTGATATAGGAAGCAGGCAGATAAACGCACTCATTTTGTAGTGGCGCATTTATATCCACTGCAAACCGCTCCACAGTGGATAGCAGGTGGCGTGAGCTGGATTCTCCGACGAACCAATCGTCTGGTGGTGGAGGCAACCGGTCGGAGTCTAGCGAAGCGACCGGCTCCTCTTTGTTTTGAGAATTCACAATCTGATGCTCCAGCGACGGGTCGTCGGTATCTTTGAGCTGCTGATGCAATGTCCCCGCTTCACGCTCACAGCGTTCCAGTAGCCAACAATGTAGCTGCATGGAAGAAAGAAGATTGAATAAGACAGCTTGGTGAAAGGAATCAGAGGCAAGAGCGGTGCAAAGTGGAGGATCTCCTCGGAGCAACGCACAGCAGCGAAGTTCGAGTACACGTATAATTGTCCCACCGATTACGATGGTAAACAAGAAGAAAGACATTCCGTCTGACTGATAAGGCCCATCAAAAATACGGAATTTGCAGTGACAGATAACTCATTTATTGAGGAGTACATGGATAAAGAAGGATTTTTTTCCAAACTCTACCCAGACAAAGCATCTTCTGTTTGCAAAATTGTTTTGATGCAATATAAGTAGTCCATAAGAATGAAGTAAATATTTTTCCCCTTAAAACATACTTTACGCGGGTTATAATCGTTTTCAGAGTCTAGTGTGTTATGTGGGCGAGCTAGTTGACCGCTTTCTCAATAATGCCCCCAAAAGTAGTAATTTTACAGATTGGAAGCTGGAGAAGATGAGGCCTAGATATTGGCGGTTGTTTGGTCATGAAAGTTTTCAGCCATTTATTCCCGCGTCACTTGAGCATTGAATGATGCCGCGGGGTCATACTGTAACACAAAACGCTTTTCATTTTGCATAATCAACCTAAGATTTGGTGACAATATTCAGAACGTCAAAATGTTCATGCCAGGATTCTATATTCAGGTGCGATGTGCTCTCGAAAACTGTAATCCGCAAACCAAGAGTACAGGTATCACTTGAATTCCGACAACGATTTCGCCTCAAGTATTCTCTTGCCAAAACGTTGCAGTATTGCACCATCCGGCGCTGGAAGCATAGAGGGTCAGCTATCCGCCTCAGGTCCGGTGCTATACCACCTTGTGCCGGTGTTTGTGAGTGCTGCTTGTTATGCATACGTGAAGGAGCGGCTTCAACAAGTAGGGAACACTATATTACTCGTGAGTAACAGGATTTCAGTTGTAATTTTGTTGAGGTTTTCATCCCAGTAGTTCACGAACTACATAGCACAGCCTAGTCCGGAAAGGCATCTGACGCGTTTCGCCCTATTGGGGCTCGTCAGTGGTGGGCATTCTCTCGGTCCCCTACTGGGGATCGAACTCATGACTGTTAGAGGCGGATGCCAAGTAGCCAGCAGCTAAAGCCACGGAGCCATGGGCGACGTTAGGGGGGAATTCGCCCAGATGTAATGATCCGGTGTGTTATTATGTGGTGGTCCACAGTCAAAATGTGTCTACAGTGCTGGAAAACAAATGAGGTTATTTCGTCTTCTTGCCCGATATTACGTCCATGGAGCCGCAAGGAATCACATATTCTGGTTCTATATGTTCGGTATTTGGTAGAAAGCAAAGGAAATCAAACACACTCGACATCACCGGCATAAAAAAACCAAGGTATTTGTGGGAAATCGCGTGCGTGTAACTGTTAGGACCACAGAAGAGTTGTTGTATAGCCATCTGTCAATTCTCATTGGTTAGTTGTTGAGTTTGGTCAAAGATTTTTCCGTTGGAGAAAATTACATGGTTACTTTGCAATAGCCTTGAAGGTCTGACTGAGGGAGTTACGTTACTGGAGGGCCATTTTGAAGTAATCGTTGTGTGAATAGATTGTGACGAGCAATCAATGTAGACGCAATGCACAATGAAGTGAACCTCGGTCACTCGATCACTGGGATTGTGGCTAAAGCAGATGACAAATGAATGCTGCCCGCCCGAAAACACTGTACACCACGGCGCTTTTCGACCTTGTTTAATTTCATCAGGTGGAGATAGCAGGCATCGAACCTGGGACTATTGGGATGTGAGTTGGGATCACTACTCATAAGCCACCGGAGTAAGAAGAGCAACGCTTGGCACAACGGTTAATGGTTGATGTGTAGGGTCATTTTGAAGTACACGTTGTGTGAATGGATTGCGACGCGCAATCTCAAGGTGGACCGCGATTCCCATTGAAGTGAAGCCTGAGTAACTCGAGCGCTGAGAGCGTAGAGTTCAGTGTTTTCGAGCGGGCGACCCCCAACAACTATCGATGTACGTCACGTTTTCTGACTTACGGCGTCTCTTCATCATTATTATCGTTATCATCGCAGAAGATTGATGTTGAGTATCCTCACAGATAACATTTCTGATTGTAAACTCTGACATAAGACGCTCCTGAATTTGGGTACCGGACTTGCTGTATCAAGTGCTATGAACCGATCAGAGAATGTAGGGTGTAGTTCACGCCCTGATATTGGTGACACGTTTCCAGAGGAAAGCGTGATGCTGTTGCCTAGAAATAGGACGAAATCGACATTCAGCAAAGTTCAGAATGATGCGGATTACACGACAAAGTTTAGCGATGACGAGATTTTACAAATCAACACAGAAAATCTGAAGAAGTATAATTACCTGAAACAAGGTCATGGTAGGATCCGGAATGCGCATCCGCTCCGCGCAGGAACCAGTAGAACCAGTGGTAGCCATGAGCCACGGATTGAAGCGCCATGAACATCGATCCAGACGAGGGTCGCCTTCGTCCATCTGGTCGGTGAACTGCAGACCGTCCTGAGAAAAAAAGAAGAGGATTAAAACGTTTGCTAACGAACAATGATTGTGAGGATGCATTCGGTTAGCAAAGGGAAGCAAATTGACTGTTTGCCTGATGACTCACAAGCGATATAGATAAGACAGGGAACGGCCATAGTCAGACAGCATGTCCGAGTACTCTCTAAATGAACAGTAGCTAAGAGACTTAAAAACAAGTGAAATGAATAAAACACGGAAGTGCCAAGATTCCAACCGGGTTGACCGGCTGATAAACTTCAGCGTAAGTTGCGCTAATAACTCGGGGGCGAAATGAGTATAACTCAACTTGCACAATGCAAACGTGGTCTGTAAAATTGCGATTTTCAACATTCTGTACGCAGGCTGGCCAACAGAAAAAAGTGCCGCATAGCAGTGCACTCCATAGAGCCAATTGATTTTCATTGCTAATTCCCTTACCATCAACGCTTTGGCGGCAGCAGTTAGAGGAGGCATTCGAAAGTCCACAGAAATAGTGGATTTCGATGCTTCACCCATCAAATCACAGGCGTGAAGAAAAGGTGAATCGTTTAACCTTACTTGAGTGGATACCACGGTTTGCCCAAGTGGACGAGGTGCATGCACTGGGGATAATGAGAGCGTAACTGAAGTCGTGGACGCTGTTCGAGTTTGTGCACATTACACCTATGTACTCGTTGGCTCTAGGTCGATTCATTGCCGTCGCTGCATCCTTGGGTTGACTCATCTTCAGGTCATTGCGTACCCAAGAGGCTCGAAAGTCGGTGAACACGTTTGCCTGGACATACTTGCTGACAAGGCAAGTAGCCGACCTCAGTGGCATTTGCGTTCAGTTTATTTGTCTCTCTCCCTGCCATTTAGCCTCCCCCCAACCACAATCACATTTACGACGCACAAAGTGACCTTTTTGCGGCCCAATAGCCGGCTGTTAACTCTGGAACGATACCCATACGTTACTGGTGGCTCAGCTGGAGTGCCTGTGCTGAGTCGATTGCTCCTTTCTCATGCATTGTGGTACAACAGCTGAAGTGTTTCACACCTCGACCCGACATGTGTGATGATGACGATGATAATGAGGAGAAGGAGGAGAAGGAGGATGATACACATGGTGCATCGGACATGGACTATTTCATACCAGTTGGACCCGGTCAAGTAATATCACAAACAGTTCATATAGACCTAAGTAAGCAGTAGATCTCTATAGTATAGGGGACTTCCTTCAAAAAGCATTGCTGGTAGCAAGAGTTCCCAAGGAAGCGTGAGATCTGCTGCGACCACGAATGCGGCATGAATTGGACAACTATGTTCGAATAAAGCGCATCACTAATCTAAAGACCCACATGTTATATGCACGGCACTGATTACTTTATAAATCGTCTCTGGTCTTGTGAAGTTAGACAATCAACTTTTCTTCATATATATATATATATATATATATATATATATATATATATATATATATAGTTTGTTAACATACACTGTGCCATCAGAACCATGGCAGAAGAAAAATAGAGAAAATAGAAACACGAAATGCGATGAAAAAATGAAAAACGATTTTTTGGTTTTACACACGCCATTTTGATATTTTGTTTTTGTTTCGTGAGTTTTTTGGGTACATTATAGGGGGCAAGTGGCAGTACAACGTTGACGTCATTGACGCCAGTTGCGGGCCATGACATCCAATGCTTCCAAGCACTGAGATTCAGCATCTTGTGGTCCCCAAGCTAGAAGACGGACTGGGCCGACTGTCACCAGAGGTTGCCTTCTTCATTCTCCCTCTCCACGTCATTGGCTGTGCACCTCGGCACTATTCCCACTCGCTCCCAGGGAGTGCAAATAGCGCTCGACGTGGAAGGCGATGGGCTGGCATGCGCAAAATGTGCCCGAGCTAACGCATGCGATGTCGAGAATAACGTTCGGAAGACTGGCACCACTCAATCCAAGCACTCGATCTCGGACCTCTGCGTTGCTTACGTGGTGTTGCCACCACCACCGAGCAACCCTTCGTAGACAGCGATTGTCGAAGACTGACAGCCGTTTCATGTCTTCCGAGTGAATAGGCCAAGTCTCACAGCCGTACAAGAGTACTGCACGGGCGGAAACATTGTACACCCTGCCCCTGAGTTTGAGACTGACATCACAACATCACAATATATGTCCCAGTTTGATGAATGCAAGCTGGGCCTTTGCAATCCGTTGTGAGACTTCGTCTCCAACACCGCCACCAACCGTGATGCAACTCCCTAGATAAGTAAAGCAAGGAACTTGCTCCAGAACATGCCCAGCAATGGTGAGCGCCGGTTCAGACACCTGCCAGTCCTGGAGCAGCTTTTACCTTTTTCCGGAGTGAAGTAGAAGCCGTACTTAGACTCCACCATCGCTAAGCGATCCAACGCACTCTGGACGATTTATGGGTCATCCCCCAGCAAGGCGATATCATCGGCGTAGTCCAAGTCAGTGACTCTGTCTCCAGGGAGGAGCTCAACACCGAAGTTCCGGACATCTTCCAGTGCTTTTTGGACAACATCTTCCATGGCAAAATTGAAAAGGTGAAATAGGACAACCTTGGCAAACACCGCTGGTCACAGTAAATGAAGTAAAGAGCGTGCCGTAAACCCTGATTTTGCCTGACGTGTGATTGTAAAGCTCTCTCAGGATGGTCACAAACTTGTCGGGCACACCTTTCTTCAATAAACAGTTCCACAACACAGATCTAGCTACTGAATCAAATGCCACTCGGATGCCCAAGAACATTACGATTGTTGGCCGCCGGTGCGTGTGACGGAGTTAGAGAAGTTGGCGGAGCGTGAAGATTTGGTTGATGCAGCCGCGGGCTGGACGAAATCCGGCTTGTTCTTCTCGAGAAAACTCCTCTCTAGTCGTTGAAAACCTGCGAAGTAGGGCTGACACGAAGATTTTGGATTCGGCAGAGACCAATGAGATTCCGCGGTAGTTACAGCAATCGTCGCAGGAGCCTTTCTTGTGAATCTGAACAGTGACCGATTTTCCCCATGAGTTCGGAGCCTTCTCTTCAGTCCAAACTTTCGTGAACAGCGATAGGATTTCGCTGACAAGTACACTCCCGCCATCTTTGAATAGAGCCGGTGGTAGGCTGTCGGGACCAGGAGCCTTGTGGCGTTTCAAAGATTGGATTGCATCTCGGATCTCTGCTTCAGTTGGGGGCCTGTGGAGACAGGCCAAGCATCATCCGTTGGGGCTGGAGGTGCCACAGGGGGCTGTGTTTGGTGGTTGAATTGAAGAGCGAAATGCTCTGCCCAGCGACCCAATCGCCTGTGAAGGTTGGTGATCTTCGTGCCGTCTTATTCGCAAATCGTCTAGCTGAGAGCACGGGAATCGCAACCGGTGGCCCTGGTGATACAAATTAGACGGCGGAAGTGGCCAGCTGATGCAGCAGCTTTCATCCCATCAGCTTGTCTTGACCACCAAAATTCACGATCAGAGCGAAGGCTTGCTTGCAGCTGTTGCGTACTAAACCGGCGGTGTTCGTTGTGCTCTGCGTCAGCAGGTACCGCCCGTCGGCGATACAGCAATTCCGAGGATCTTCCCGAGATGCAGCTTTTGGGAGTGGAGCGAGCAAGATCACAGCTGGACGAACTGAGCGACAGCATGGCTTGTTGCAGACTTGACTCAGTGTTGATCAACATCCAGAGTGGTAGACTGAGCGAGATTTTCACAAAGCCCTTGTTGATATTCTTTCTTCATCATCGGTTCCTCCAATTTGTAGGTGTTGAATCGAGTGTGTTTGGATCTAGGTGAGCCTAGAACCATGGACTTACAACTACAACCATTCACACGTTCTCATGCTGCTACGATGCTGTTCACTCATGCTGATATGCAAACTTCACAAGCACACACCACCATTTTACCTACCTGGTGTATATATATATATATATATATGTATATATATATATATATATATATATATATATATATATATATATATATATATATATATATATAACCCACTGCCTTGTGGGTAAGGCTATTGAGCCAAAGGCTCAGGGCGGAGTCCCTCAAGCAAACCTCCGAAGCACAACGATTACCTCGCGTGCGATTGCTAACCAATACAATCGTATGCCTGCGCGCAAAGTACCCAGCATCGGATGCTGGAACGTGTGTACACTACTGGACCGAAACTCCAGTGAGCGCCCCGAGCGACGCACTGCACTCGTCGCGATGGAGCTGGCGCATTACCACATCGATACTGCGACGCTCAGTGAAACTCGGCTCGTTGAGCAAGGTAAGTTACATGAAGTAGGTGCTGGCTACGCATTCTACTGGGTGGGCAACGCCGCCTCAGCACCACGTGATCATGGGGTCGGATTTGCTATATCCGATCGTCTCCATGGCCAGCTGGTGGGTGAACCAACAGGCATCAGCGCGCGACTGATGACTGTTCGCCTCCGGACGGGGAGAGGTAAGTTTGCCACTTTTATAAACGTGTACACTCCGACCATGCATTATCCTGATGACACGCGTGATCAATTCTACACTCAGCTAGCCTCCGTGATACGGTCTGTGCCGAGGAGCGACCGACTATTCCTGCTGGGTAATTTCAACGCGCGCGTTGGGCGTGATGCATCGGTGTGGACAGATGTTATCGGTCCGCACGGCATTGGTTCAGCGAATGCGAACGGTGACAGGCTGCTCTCACTCTGTGCCACTCACAGCCTGACGATCACGAACACTAGGTTTGCACTGAGTGCGAGTAATTTAGCAACCTGGACCCACCCACAGAGTGGTCACGCTCACCTGCTCGTCTATGTCATCGTACGTCAGTGTGATATGCGTGAAGTGCGCATGACACGTGTATTGCGTGGAGCTGAGTGTGGCACCGAACTGTACGTATATTTTCGTAAATCTAATTATTGCACTCCCGCCGTGAACCGGCGTAAATTTAACATTCTCTCCCTCGGTACTGGGGCGAAACGTATTGAGCTGGAGAATGCAATGGCTGTGCGCCTGTGTGATGTGGACTGTATAGCCACAGTGGGTGACCTGTGGCACCACATTCGTGACCAGATGCCAGCTGCTGCCGAGGAGACTATCGGGCGCACAAACTGTAAGCGGCTGATTGGTTTGATGACAACAATGTGACGATTGGCGCATTGGTGTCGGAGAAGAATGCAGCAAATGCTGCACATGTTGCAGACCCCAGTGACTTGAAGAATATTCGGTTTCGCAAACTTCGACGGCGACTGACCCAGGAGCGCCGTCGCATTAGAAATGGATGGTGAACGGAGGAAGGCGAAGCAGATGAAATGCTACGCCGAACGCCGCCAACACATGGAATTCTTTGACTACTTGAAGGCGGTGTATGGACCGAGATCGGGGCCGCTGAGGACGCTGATCGATGGTAGATCAGGCTTACCCAACACACAGACTGCAGAAATAATCCAGATGTGACGGAAACACTTTGACTGTCTCTTGAACAACCGTTCGGAGATTGACTGACCTACACTGAACGGCCTCAAGCAGCACAATGTGAAGGCGAGTGTGGTGGACACGTCGACATGGGATGAGAAGCAGAGAGCACTTGCTCAGTTGCGAAACGGCAGGTGTGCTGGGGCCGACGGGATCCCGC